GGAGGAAAATATGTAGAATATAAAAAGACGTTTTTCAAATCTAGAAAAACACCGTCACCACAACAACAATAACAAAAAAAAAAAAAAAAAAAAAAAAACAAAGGCAGTGGGAAGAAAGGGGCAATGAGCAGGACAAAAATGAACAAAGCAAGTTCCACAAATATGAAACAAGCCAAAGGTACTCTGTGTAACTAATGTGCTGTAAGGAGAGGGTGGAGAGAGAGAGAGAGAGAGAGAGAGAGAGAGAGAGAGAGAGAGAGAGAGCAGCCTCTTACAATGTGTGGATTTTATTCTGATCTCCATTCAAACAAAATATTTAAAGTGTGTAAAACAACCAGGAGAAGAGGTACAAGCCTCCACAATGAACTATGTTAAGGAATTGTTGCTATTAAGTGTGATTGATACTGGTTACAATAAAAAATATCTTTTTAAAAATATGTAACTATTTAGAATTGAAGTATTTCAATGTTTTCAAATGCAACTGGGAAAGGCATATGAAATGAAATTGGCTATGTGCTGGAAGTAGCTATAAAGGTGGACCCAGGTTGCTAATGCTGCGCCTCTGCATGTGTGCACATTTGAAATTGCTCGTGACAAAATTATCTCAGCTTCACCTATTAAGAGTATGGGGGCTGGGGAGATGGCTCAGTAGAATAAGTGCTTCCCTGGCAAGCACAAGAGCCTGAGTTCAAACCCCGGTTCCACCATTAAAAAAAAAAAAGGATATGGAGTCTTTAAGCTACATTCTTCCCCCCAAATTCATTTCCTTATACTATCTTACCTTGTTTACAAGTACAATTGGAGAAGATATTTGTTCAGAGTAGGCCCTACTTACTAGAATTTAGAAGCTGACTCGTAAAGTGGTCAGCATCAGATAAGTAGCATTAAGCTGTGTCAGGCACTTAGCAGCTTATACTTTGCATAGAGATCTATGATCCTGCTGTAAATGATATGAGAGTAAAGGCTTTATCAGCTCCCGAAGCACCAGGGCTGCATCAGGAGAGAGCCGAGAGCCTGAGTCATTATCAGTCGTGTCATTTTAAGGCACCCAAGAGAACACCTTGGGAAATCAAGTAGCTCACTTGGCTCTATGTGTATTCCCTCCAGGCCAATGAGAAACACCAAACAAATAATTCAGTTCCCCCTCACACTACTACTGTTATACTTGCCTTGTCCCAACATTTGCCCCCTTTTTATAAGCCATTCATTTTTAAAGACTTTGTACCTTGTTTGCATTTTCCAGGGAAACCAGACTGGTCACCCACAGGTGTTTGAGCTTGGTGGCATCGGAAGTAATGGGAAGTGTTTCTTGCAGCTTTAAATTTTCTCCCCAGATTCCTAGCAAGCCTTCTTTGCTAATAGTCAGGTAACGACTTGAGCTCTTTAAGAAAATTATTTTCTGGATGGTGTCCTTGTGTTTTCCTTGGAGGAATTCAAGGTCCTTCCACTGTGGAACCACAGTTGCCTTTGCTCGTTCATCTTTCTCATAAAGCGACAACAGTATAAATGAGGTCAGTTTGTCCCAATTAATAAAGCCATCTCGAGCCAGGTCCACCTTGTCATAGAGCTCCCCATATTCTTCCTGTGTGCCCCAACCAACAATGTCTGCCATCTTCTCCATGAACTCTTCTCTGGACATACAAATGCTTTTCCTTGGATCTGAGGACTAGAAATAAGAGTAAAATCATAGGTGAAATTGTAAGCATCCCAGGTGCAAAAATATCAGCCTAACCAAATGTCAGAATGAATCAGCAATTCTAAGATCCAAAGAAAAATTTCTTTCACTTCCGAATGCTACTATACCTCAGTGAATTTAGTCTCCAAAACAAAGTGTACAGGGCTAGAAACTGGCATCCTTTGGTACCAATGTCCTTATAACTGGAGGAAGGCCCAGGAGAGTCAGAGCAGATGTGAGGATGAGGGAAGCAGAGGTCAGAGGGATGCAAGCATGAGATGAGGGGCCCAGGTGGCTGGAAGAGGCAGGGAAAGGATTCTCCTCTCAGCCTCCAGGAGGATGGCTATCTTGGCGACACTTTACTTTTGCTGTTTTTTTTTTTCAATAATTTTATTGGGAAATAAATAGCAATGAGACAGTTTCTAATCAAATTGGTAGGACAGTTCCAATAATTAACACATTGCATACAGCCTTCCTAGTGGTAATTTGTTGTACAAGATGCAGACATGATATCCTATTTACAAATACTATTAGAACAGATCCCTGTATTCCTTCAATTAAGAGAATGTAGCTATATATCTATCCTAACCATTTTGAATACACAGATAGAAAATGGACATTCATCTATATCCCCTTTTTTGTTTAGTTCCATCATTTAAATATTATAGGTATGTGAGCTCAGCAAAATATTCCAAAATAGTCCAGTAGTCCATAATAGTATTGGGTCTTCCACTTGACTGGCAATGTCAGAAGTTGTTGACCTAAGTCCCCTACAGTTCAACATAACAGCATGGCTTTACTTCTTATACTTCATTTTTATTCTTTTCTGCTGGATGGTTA